TGTGGCTAAAAAGACCTGGAATGAATATTAGTGTTAACACACACTCAGGAAGAGCTATTGATTAAAACCATGTGCTTTAGGAAGGAAAGCAATGCTGGAATTGAGATCATCACTAGGGTTTAGTGGGTTTAACAGTGTCTTCCTGTGAAGGATTTGGTTTCACCACTGTTTAGCAGGAGGATGTTAGAGTAGGTCGATTCTGGTTCTAATCCAGTCTGGGAATTCCTGTGACCTTATGCACTCCTCTTCCCTTCATTTCCTGCCTCTTTTATTTTCCTTGCATCTTCTCTCCGTGTCTGAGGTTTTGGGTCTGCCGTTGCCAGGCGTTACAGAATTAGGTGACATTGAAATGAGAGAGCAGCCGTCCGTAGAAGGTGGGTTTGGGTATATTTCATCCTACGCCCTTTCTTCAGTTGAGATACTTCAGGTCTGTGTCCTAAGAGCTGTTTCCTGGGAGGTGTTGTCACCTTCCCGTTCTGCATGAGCCTGTTATGTTGTGTCTGTGTGCGATCACAGTACCTTATGGAAGATATAGCACACGGGTCAGAAAGACATAACAGGCCAGCATTTTGACTTGGAGGGAGGATACTCTTTGTGTGAGACAGCTGAGTACATATTGTGTACCCTTACTGTTTTTCCAAGAGTTGCTAGTTTTGTAAAGAGATAGGACACGTGATGTAAAGTGCTGGGAACTACAGACAGGCAACAGAAGAATGAAATCAAATGAAGAAATGTGCTTTGATGATCATTTACACACAGCTATTTCCCATGCAGAAAATAGGACTTGCATATATATCTCAGGGCTGAAGAACCATGATGATTTAGCTACAGAATCACAAGCCTTTTCTTGCTGGAGTCCCCACATTGCCTTATACTGCTCAAAAAATTTCCGTGAGACCAAGGAGAATCAGAGTTGTGGTATTTTGTGACCTTTCAGGTCTCTGAACGCCTACAAGAAAACGAACAAATTAACAAACTCAAGCAGAAACATGAAGATTTAACTACAGATGAAAAGGCATGTGAAGAACTGATGGCTAAAGCAGTATTTTTGGAAGAACGGATCCAAAACTTGAGGGCTGAACAAGAACTCCTCTGGTAAACCTTAACAAGGGCTTTGGTATTTTCTGCAGCTTATCTTTGCTGGCTAATTGTCCAGCCTTTTAAAAATCCTTGCAGTGCTACTTCTGGCAAAAATAGAGACAGCTGCTTTGTGTCCAATTCTATAGCATCAAGTAATCAGCTCTCTGTAGAATTTTTGGTGGATAAGCGTTTTCCTTAGTCAACTAATGATCAGTCAGGAATAAACCCCTTTTCTTTAACTACCCCAGAGTCCTAACTGCATAAAAGAGGTGTCTTTTGGGAGCGTGTTTTTCTCTTGGAGTGATGCTGTATTTGCACTAATATGGTCCCAAAGAGCTCCCGTTGTGAGCTAGGGTTTCTTGGGGCTAACGGCTCTACAAACACGATGAAGAAAGCTGCCTGCTACCTGCAGGTGGTGATATACATCCTGATATGGATTTCAGTCGTCCTTTAAGGACAGATGTCAGCAGACATGGGATTATAGGTCCCCCCACCCCCACCTTTTCAGTAGGTCAGTGGAAATTTGAAGTTAGAGCATCCGTGCCCAGACTTTCGTTAGTAAGTAAAGTTCCGGATTTAACCCAGTGTGTTTACAGTCAGCTCTCAATTACCTGGGTAACTAGGTACTGGGATAAAGCAAAACCAGGCTAAGACAGGTAGGTTGGGTTAGAAGGGCATATAGTTCAGATCAAGATAGGTCAGAGAGAGAGCTGAGCGAGAGAGCATAGATCGCTGAGCTGGCACTGACCCGAGTCTGTACTTCCATACAGCAAGGCGTAGCATGAGTGCTCCTGTGCTGCTTGTAAATGCAGCCTAGCTCACGTGGACTCCACATTTTTTTGTGGATCACTGCCCGGGGGAGACTGACCCTTGCCCAGAACTGCTAGATTCAGGATTATCTCCCCTCCGAGGCTTCCAGAGATCCTTCAGTGTTGCTTTGAGCGTTTCACTGGACTCCCATATTCCAAGTTTCCCATTCAGAGAGTGGTTTCTCTTGGATATATGTAGTTATCTCTCTCCTTTACTATTTCTCCTTCAAGTTCTGAATTACTGGAAAGCAACAAGAAGAGGGAGGAGCTAGAACAACAGCTAAAGGAGAGCAATGAAGAAAAATGGTAGTTACTGGAAGAAATTGCCCAGGTAAAGCAAGATATCGTGGCTACGTGGGAGCAGCGTGACAGCATGAGTGAGTGAAGAGGCTTTGAGGATGAATCAAGGCATGGTCCATAGAGAGAACAGGTTTCTCTTGCCACAGAGCTCTGCAGGCAGTTTAGATGGGAACATTAAACAGGTACGGGCAGCTTCATCTGCACCATGTTTTTTCACTAATTTAGTGGCAAAGCCTAACTAAAAAGTGGCCTGGAAGCCAGTCCTTGCAGTGCTGTAGCATTAGCATGCTGGGGGAGTTGAGAGGCTGACTGATTTCCTTGGGGAAAGTGTTTGAGACTGAGCAATGTCGTTGTTTCCTTTTGTCACGCTTTTAGATATAGAAACCACTTTCCACTTTGGGAACTTGGGTAAACTGAGCGGCTCTGGCTCCCTTAGTGCACGTGAGAGAAATGAGGTTTACAGTCACAGAATCACAGGATGGTTGAGGTTGCAAGCAGCCCCTGGAGATCATCTGGTCCTTACATAATAATGCTTTAAATCTTTTTGGAGCCCTTTCTCCACTCTTTTTCAGAGCGTGAGCAACAGAGCTGGGCTTGCTATTCCCATAATGGTCTCACTCTTGTTGTAGGCAGAAGCAATTCCACTTCTCTGCTCCTGCTTGGGATTTTCTGCATTTATACTCGACTGCTTGAATTCAGCCCTGAACTGCTGGCTTGCAGTAGCAGCTCACAGGCAACTGAGTTTTGCCACAGCCCTGTGTCCTTGTCTCAGTTACTGCTCTCCAGTTACCAGGTAGCAGGCAAGGTCCACTTTTGATGCCACTTCATTTAGCTGTATTTTAAATTCAAGTTGTTCATCTGTCTTACCATGTGATATAAAAAAAAGGGGAAGAGCAGCTAGCCCTGCCAAAGAGGAAGAAATCACGGAGATATCCAGGATGGGGATTTTGAGGAGGAGCAAGGATTATTTGCAGAAGCTTGAAAGAGAAGAGAGGACAGGATGGCCTGCACACAGGAGTGGGGATAGAAAGAGGATCAGAGCCACAGCAATACCAAGAAGCAGCAAATCTTTGCAGAAAAGTATGCTGTCTGCCAAAGCAACATGCAAGGTGTAGGGGGGGGGAGTGCTGAAAGGGATCATGATGGAAGTAGGGGAAAAAAAATCCTTGACTGGCCATGTCGGGACAGATGATACTGCCGCATCCCACAGTGCTGGATCCACAGTCCCCACCGCAGCTGGGGATTTATCCTGAGAAGAAAAGCTTGATCTTCAGGGGATTTCCTCTGGTCCCAAGAGCAGAGGGTGAAGGTGCGAGGTGAGAATGCAGATCAGTAGGTGGCTCAAAGTGATGCTGTGAAGAAGGATTTTGATACACTGCACGTGGAAAGAGGATTGTAGCCTGCACAAAAGGCACTCCTAAGAAGATGGAGGGACTGAAGTGCTACGGAGGCAGAGCCTCGATTATTTTCTGAAAGCCAGAGAGGCCCATTTGCCTGTGACAGCAAGGGCAGAAGTCAGTGAGCACCCCATGGTGTCCAGGCTGCTGTTGCATTGTGCCAGTACGTCTGTTCCTATACCACTGCTGCAATTTCTTCCTGCTGCCTTTGGAAGTTGTAGTTGGATATGCCACCTATGCTTAGTGCCTTAGCAAGACTCTAGCACAAGACTCTGTGGACGCTGCCAGGAACCAGCTCAGGAATGGATCTGAGTTAAGAGTGACCTGCATTGTTTTGTTTTTACTTGCCAGGTTAGTTTTAAGAGGGATTTGTTTCCTGATCCAGGTTATTGCATCTTCCTCCTCGACCTCAACAGTTGTATCGGTGCCTCTGAGAGGACGGACAGGGTGGAGGCAGACAGATCTGCTCAAGTGGGAACCAGAAGAAATGCTTGCCTGGCTGTACCCCTCTTAATTTCCTTTAATCCTACTGGTGTACTTTGGCTGTCCTCATCGGTCTCTCTTTCTTCGTTGCCAATCTTTATCCTTCCTTGAAGATAATTTTCCCATCACCCTTTGTTGTTTCCCTCTTGCTGCAGAGTCTGTCCGAGGAGCGATTCCAGCAGCAGGAGGAAAAAATGCAGCAATTGCGGCAGGATCTGCGTCGTGTTCAGAACTTGTGCAGCTCAGCTGAGAGGGAGCTTAAATATGAAAGGGAGAAAAACATCGACTTACAAAAGCAAAATCTCTTGCTCCAGCAGGA